GTTCTTTAGAAATTAGAATATTGTGAAGAGATAAAATAATGAAGACAAACTGATGCACCTACATTTTCCTGCTCTTACACAGTAAAGGCCTATTCTGTTCTATTCGAATCCATTTGCCATATTTTTATTTGAATAATTTGTCAAGGTCATTTTTCAGCTTTAGTACCACACTTTCCCCAAGTAGATCAGATGAGCAGGTCCAAGCTTGGCTTCTTTTTCTTAATTATTCCAATCAGACTCTATTTTTGAATATCTTTGGGAAAAAGGGATTTAAGAGCAAACAAAAAAAAGTCTGATGGATGCTGATAGATTTCTAACAGATAGAGTCCAGCTTGCAATGGCTGAGCTGCATGATTTTAGGCTTAACACTCATTCAGCTGCCTTAATGCCCCCTCAGGCTATGTAGCGCATTAGTGCCACTGCATTAGCACACTGATGCTCTTAGTAAAACCAAGCAAGCACGCTGGGCTTCCTGCACCACTATTATGTAGCATGGATCCATAAAAGTTAAGCCGTTGCACTTTATGTGTTTAAAGTCGCGAGCAGGCTTCATGTTCTGGTCAGGGATAGAGCATGAGTGCTGAAGAGGGATTCTAGCCACCAGCCCATTAGAATAATTTCACTGTCATTTCTGTGCCATCTCCAATTCATCCCCATAGAGATATGGCAGAGCCTGGGTAATTTTCTGTCTCTTTCCTCATGGTGGCTTTGGCATTTCACTGACATATTTCTCTGGAAACAGTTGAAACAGTTTCACAAATCTAAGTTAATACTTTGCGGCCATATGCATTGAGTTTCTAAAATAAAGCACTTAAAATTCCCCGCTGCAGTTTCCAGCTGCGACAACTGGTTGGAGTTTAAGCCAACTCTTTCACTGTAGAAGAATATGTTTAAGGTCAACATGTAGCACATTAAATGAATAATATGGCATATTTTTCTATGTATTTAAGCTTCAAAACATTTGGCAGGTTTAAAAAACGCAAAGCACTTTTCTTTTATGTGAAGCCTTTGGTCTTCAAACACAGCAGCGTTTAATTACAGACATTATTTATCAGGTAAATGTGAGAAGGCAAGCAGCATCTAGTTAAAGCAGGAAATCTTTAGATGCCTTAAAAAATAATCTTTAAATACTTTGTAGTGCTTAGTCACAAATGAATAAGATATTTTATTTACATAGATTTTTTTTATTGTGTGTAGAAACCAGAGGGGAAGCATTTCTGGTTTTATTTTGCCTTTTATAATCACATATGCTTTGATCAAGTGTAAAGAAATGAAGAACATCCCATTCTTCATTGTAAAATCTCTTTTAGTTGAGTTAATTGGCTGGAATAAAATCCTTCTTGCAGCAATAAGATGGTGAAAGACATGTTAATAAACGCAAGTCTCGCATTATGTGTGATAAAAGATAACAGTTTTTTTGGGTTTTAAACATTTACAAGACCTCTGTAGAGATCTTATATTAATGTTTGAAGGGTTTGCATGTCACAGAGTTTTCCCTGCAGGAAACTCCAGCCACTGTTTAAGCTACAAAATAGATTTTACCTTTTAGTTGCTGCTTTGCATTGTCTTTTAAATTACATTTTTTAGACAACTTGCATACAGGAATCTGCTAGATCTGAGTATCGTTTCAAATCTCAAGAATCAATTTGATTCTGATTTTCAAGATTTCCAACCCATTCTTTTCGATCCAATCTGATCTAATGTCAAATTGTATTGCTGGAGTAATATAATAATATATATAATATTTATTTTTCTTTAGCTGTTACCCAAATTACCTGACTGTGGAGGTATGAAACGTATTGATACTTATTATTTTAACAGTCTACAACAAATCAATAAAGTAATAGTTAATGGGCGATGGTGGAAAATGTATTTTTAAAAAACTGATCTTTTGCTATATGGATTAATGAGAATCTATTCAGAATTTATTATTTTTTCCATAGCCTTTTTTAACTACCATTGCAGTAGATCTCCTATCTCGGGGTTTTAGCACCCACATCTCCAAATTGTGCACAGAGAAGCTGCACAGTTTGACATAGCAGTAGACTACAATTTAATTGCTGCATGCGTGTCCCATTTGAATTTGCTAAAAGGTGATATTAGTTGCCATTGGAGCCAGCTCTTTTTTGTTGGCAGGTTTGCCCAGAGTTGAAGCTATTTTAATGCACATTCTTCTGCTCAAATGAGATCATCAATTTGAGAGAGTGGTGTCAATAATTAACAAATATTTGTTAGTGTGTAAGAGTCCTATACGTTTGTTCTGTTGTGAACAGAAAGACCTGACCTCCTAGAAGACTTAACATTTTAATTTATATTTAAAGTGGAAGTATTTTATTTTCTCTTGTTTCTTCTCTCATAAAGGTCCTCGATGGGCATCATGGAACCTGGGCGTGTTCATGTGTATCCGCTGTGCTGGAATCCATCGGAACCTTGGAGTCCACATCTCCAGAGTCAAATCTGTCAATCTGGACCAGTGGACACCTGAGCAGATTCAGGTATATAGACACAGACAGACCCACACCCATAACCCATAATAGGAAAAATGTCCGTCTATCTGCTTTTACAGCTTCATTCAAGTGTTGTACGCTGTCCTTTAGCTAAAGTGGACTCACTTTTCTTCGTCAAGTAAGAAATGTGGTGTATTCATTTCCAGAGGTAGAGCAGATGCAATAGGGATTTAATGAAAGAACTCGTGGCCTTTGAAAATGACTCGCGTAGTTTCCCTTGAAGCACTAAACAAAAGCTTTACTGAAGCAGAACAGCTAAGAGCTGCCTAAAATGAGAGGAGAAATTATTAACTAAAGTCAAGAAGTTCCTCTATGATTTAAGGGTTTATTTTTATACTAAGGGTTATCCCTACACCACCATGAGGACAGAAGGTAATAAGAGTATTGTTGGCCACATGTGATGCGTTGTGCTTTATTAAGCTCCAGATCAAAGATCCTGTGTGTGCATCTGTCTCACTCTTACGAGGATGCCAGTACTTTTCCAAATCATGCAGTTGTTAATAAATAGAACTGTTTGCTGCATGTGTGTGCGCTAAAGTACTTTGGATTAGCCTCTCTCTGTCAGCTGTGTGTGAGTAGGAAAGGGTCTCACTTAGAATGTTAATCACTGTATTCAGTGACTAATTAATTCTGGATGCCTGATTATTCCGACTCTGTCTCCTCCATTTCTCCTATCATCAACCCATCCATCACGCTCCTCTTAATTTAGCCTTGTTGCATACAGCCACTGTGTCCTTTACTGTGTCTGTGCATGCATGCAAAGGAGTCGGCGGGCAAAATGAGTTGAATGCAAATGTGATGAGTGAAAGAACCCGCTGTGCTCTGGGCCGAGTCTTTTACCAGTTGCCTCCCTGCCTATTACATTGTTTTTTTATTTCTTGCTTGTAATTCTTAATTAAATTTCTTCCTTTTTTTGCAGAGTATGGTGGACATGGGCAACACCAGAGCTCGCCAGCTGTACGAAGCCCACCTACCAGAGAACTTCAGGAGGCCGCAGACGGATCAGTATCCTTCCACTGATTTGCCATATAATATTCATTCACGCATAACATCATAATACAAATGATATTTTCATTAATAAAATAAAAGTCCTCCCACGGTCATGGTAAAATGAAAGCACAGCACCTCTCCATTGCAGAATTATACATGTCAGAGAATGACTTTAGAATAATTTCAACCTAACCACATTACATATTCCACACTGTTTGTTAGTAAATAGAAAACATGTATGTGGAAAAAGTAAGTACACCCCAGGGGTGCAGAAAAAGATGTCTATTTAGCATTAGTAACTCCTATTATCTGGTTTTAAAGAAACAGATTGTTTTTTTGGATAAGTTTATCAGTCTTTTAGATCATTGCTTTGTTCTTTAAGGCCTTTCACTATAAAACATTTTGCTGGAAGATCAGATGACCCAGAGAATATTACAAAAAACATTGTTGTTTCGAGACATTTTTTTTATTGCATCACCACACAACCCAAACAGTCTTTGATCGACTAAGGTATTTTCTCTTTTGTGCTGTTGCACAGCTATGCAATTCTTACTGTTGTAGGTGCACTTACTTTTTGGATTTAATTTGGTGATTAAGCCCTCCAGTGATAGTAGATTGTCAGGAAGCCCGAGGCGGTAACAGAAGTTGTAACTGCATAACAGCACGTACAGGTTGTCGGTCATTTGGCTGAAATCCAAAGCGCTCCCGTCCTGCCGCTGTCTCTTTCAGCTTCTAAAACAATTCCATCTTTTTTAAAATTTCGACACCCATTTCACAGACTTGCTAATCCCCACCGGGCTTCCGTGTGACGCTCTGGTACGTAACAGCATGAGATAATTTTTCTGGCCAGTGCCTGATGCATGACTTAACTCTGGCATGTTCTGAGGAAACAAGAAAGGAGGTTTGAGCGAAGATGGATGCACAGGAGGGAAACATTTAGTCGTCCAGTATTAAGTAATAAGCGGGAGATGGATGGAAAACAAACAACCATTGAAGTGGAAGTTATCGAACTCCTTTACATTTTTACTACAAATACTATTCATATTATTAATTGTTTTACTATCGTGACAGACAGTTTAAGAGTTCTGTTTTTTCCACACAACTGTCGTTATATCGCATCACATAATTTCCATCAGATTAAGGTCTGAGCTTTGCACTTAGCACTCCCATTCTTTCCTTTTTTGGCCTCTTTGTCATAGATTTGCTTTCGTGTTCAGGAACATTGTCAGTTTCCTACATGCCCCCTCTTCTTGAAACAAGCGAGGATTTTTAGCTTCACTTGATTCTCTTTTTTTTTTTTTTTTGGTGAGCCTGAAATCTCAACTGGAAAATATGTAAAAAGGTTGATCTATTTTACTGAGCAGGTGAAGCCAAATTAAAGCTATGTTCTGAAATATCAAAAAAAATGTTACCACTATTCCTATTTAGTTCATCTTTGCACTCGTAATCATTTCCATTAATAAATAATACAAATCATTCCAAGTCTATAGATCATTAATTATACATAGTGCTGAATTTGTAAGTTTATTCATTCATTCAACCCATCAGCTTCATTGTTTTTCCCCGGACCCCTCCAGCTGCATCTGTGTCTACAGCGATGTAACAGTAGACTTCAGTTTGCCCTCCTTTGTGATAAAAGGCATGACAATAACTGCATACTCTCATATTTCCATCAGCAGACAGAAATAAATAAACTCTGTGTGCAAAATGTGGGTCTAATACAGTATCTGGGATCTGGCAGAGCCCATTTGTGCGGGTGGTCATCGCTCTTCATTCTTTTTGAAGTCCATTAGTTGTTCTGACAGCGGCGGTGCTGGCTGAGAGCTGCAGATAACAGGCCCAAGATTAACAGAGCGACCGCCTCGACGTGTGCGATTCTGTGCATGTTTGTTTCTTCCTCTCACCACAACATGCTGGACTTTAAAAAAGAAAATCTGCTTGTTTAAGTGATTGTGTAGTCAACATAAATATATGCTGTAACTTTAGACCAAGGCTAAGAAAATTCCTTTTGACCTCTGAAATATAAAATAATATATCAACACTTAGAAATAAGCTTTGTTTTATTTTACACAGCATGCACCATTATAAGCTTCTTTAAAATCAGAAGGTTAGGACTCTTTGAACTGAGATGTATGTATTCAGTATTATTCAAGCTGTGTTTGTTTTGTTTATGCTGAGACCTTCAACTGCTGATCTCTTTGTCTGAGCACCTTCATGAGCAGGATTTGTTCCCAGCTGCTAGCAATATTAAAAATCTTATGTTTTTTTAACAGTCAGCAGTGCGTATATAATCAGATGGAGACTGCGGCTAAGTGCTGAGCTCTATGCAGAGCATTGATCTCCATTTATTGCATAGTTGTTGGTAGTACGGCCTTATCCTAACTAATAAGAATATCAGGCTTAACACTTTTTGTCCATGTGAAAATTATCACTTACCTTTCTCCATAGTTTTTAAAATATTTTTTTTCTCCAGGTGGTGGAAAACATTGTTTCAATGCCTCAATATTGGAGCATCCTCCATTTCCCGTAACAGTCCCGCCATTCAGCTCGTGGTATCCCACTATGATTCTGAGTGGGGCTGTGGATTGCATCCTATCTGCTCTGTTGTTTCCGCTCCTCTTTGCAAAAAAGGCAACACAGTGTGGGTGGTCAACCGATGGGGTGGAATAGCTTTCACATGTTTACAGTGCCGGTTGTCCAAGTTTAAACAGTAAATGGTTCCATGACCAAATCTCAGCAGTCCCCCCCCCATACTTTGTTTTGAATGTGACACAGTTGTTCAAATAAGTCTTGAAATATTTTCAGCTGTTATTGTAATATGTAAATTATTTATCTTCCACCCAAAATGCACCACCTTAGGCTTTATTTGCATCCACTTCCAGTTGCCTGTCTTCTTATAACACAATACCGAGATGCAAAATTACATATTTCCATTTAGAAACTGCTGCTATTTTTAATCAAGCTATTTATTTTTTATTTGTTTTTATTATTTATTTTTTTATAGCATAAAAGAGACTAACAGATAAGTTTAGATTGACTTGCAGCATGTCAAGGAATGCAGATAGAAACATCAACAAACAAAAACATTTCCATATATATATATATATATATATATATATATATGGTATATAAGAATACAAAGTAAAAAAAGTTCAGAGAGGGAAGAGTTTTTAGAATTAAAATTCAGTTCAGCCTATATTGGTTTTACCAACATGTTTCAAGAAAGGATTCCAGATACTTGGAAAAACTACCTATGTATTCCTTATGAAGTCTCATGGTATTATAGGCATCAGCTGCCTGTTTTTTTTAAAGTAAGGAGGTGTGGAGGACTCCAATGAATTTTTTGGCAACTATCAGTCCTAGTTTTAGTGGCTGCTGCATTGTAGCAGGTATCGTCCTTAGCATTTGACAGTCCAACAATTATACAATTAGAAAGTCCAGGTTCAGGGAGTGGGAGCTTTAAATGTGCCCTAGTGTGTTGATTTCCAAAAGGGATTGATGCCAAACTTGAGGTCATTGATATTCCAGCTTATAATATTTTGATTAGCTATAGAAATTAAACTAAATGATAAACATTTATGTTAAAATACTTAAAGATATAAACTGTTCTTTGGAAATAGACACAACCAGTTACTTTGGTTGCTGATGCCAGTTTCTAATTATTATTTTACATGTGACTAATAGATTTTTATGAGGTTGTATACTTCCCCATTAATTTGCGTCATTAGTCGACTCTGGTACCATTTTTTGGGTCAAAAACTAAGAGGTTAGAAACATCTACCCTAGAGTAGCAATCAAGTAGTGTAGACCAAATTCCAATTAGGAATAACTATTTACTGAGCAAGAATGGATTTTGGATTACGGCGTGTTCCACATCTGCAAGCCATTTTGATTCTGTCTGACACCATACGTTTTGTGAAAAGAGAAGTCTAAGATAAAATTATGCTATTAACAGGTTTCTAAACCTATCTAATGTTTTTAGACAGGATGCCTGTACCTATACTGGAGGGACAGCGCTCCAAAAACAAATATACCTCATTCAATACCAATATACTAACATACCTTTGTCTTGTGTCCTGGTTCTCACAGCTTGTTGACATTTTTGGGATAAAACGTTTATTTTTAAGTATGATATCTGACTGTTTTTTATTTAAAAAAGTATCCTTAACTCCAAACTTTAGAGCTGTTGAAGTGTTCATCCGCGACAAATATGAGAGGAAGAAGTACTACGACCAGGAGGCCCTGGCTGCAGCTTCAGTGAGTATCATCAGCACGTGTTTTATTCTCCATTTTCAGTCAGTGCATGTTATTGTTACAGCTTCAGTGGTTGGAGGCAGTTTTATGTAACCTGCTCTGCACTGGTAGCTGATGGGTTGTTTGAGGCCAGAATCTGTAGAGGACAGAAATCATCCTTATGCAAAACGACAACTTTTTCTTTCCCTTTAGCTTTTATGTCTCCTCCTTTGTTGAAAATCTCTCACCCCACTGAGCAAAAACTGACTCATATTATATTTTGAAACTCCAAATATACAGCTTGATATTTATAATTCTTCATCATTCATAACTTCCTGAATGACTATAATAACATGGTGAATGGCAGAAATGCTCTTTTTTTCCCCCCCTTCAAGCATTTATTCTGTCGCTGAGTTTTGGTTTTTTTGAGTTTTTTTGGGAGGTAATTCTAGGCAGGCAGGTATTTCTCGGCACAAAACCAAGCTGCGTCAAAGCACAGCCGTAGTCTGATACCTTTAGTTGATTCTGACCCGTGACATGCATAAGTCATGTCGGCCTGCAACATGTCCTGTACAATAGAAAAGGAAACTAAGAAATTGCGGAGGGGTGCAAGCCCTTTAATACTTTGAATTATTTCAAGCCACTTTTGGCTTGAAATAATTCATTTTATGTTGTAGAATTCAACTTTTTCTCACTTTTTAATTTACTAAAGTTTACTAAATTATTCCTTGTGGGGATTTGCTGATATTTCTTTTTGTTTGCTTGGATCCCCATGAGTTGCAGTTTCCCGTATCTACTTTTCCTTGTGTCCACACATTCAACATACTTAACAAGGTGCAGGAATCGTACCAGAAAAAGGAAAATACAGCAGATATAAACACAAAAATAAAACATAGGGAAGAACCAAAATACTAAAATGAAAATATTTTAGTACGAAATATGCTGTAGGTTATTTATGCAATACATTAACAAAAACATGTGTATGTATAAAGCATACCCAATCAATATGGATACATTACAGGATTGATTAAATCAATCAGGAAAAATGGAAAAAAGATATAAATCTTCTAAAATTTTTTTGAAATCTATTATTCTGACACTTCTCCATGTTTTATTCAGGTAATTTCTTCAATGCAAACATGACTGTATAGCACTGACACCCTAAAAGGAATTTAAATATGCTTTGGTTGTAAAACATAATAAAAAAAAATAATAATAACACAAATAATAATTACACACATTAGGACTGAATAACAGTACGTAGTCTTTGGATTGCTGGAGCCTATAATGTTTCTAATCAGCAAGGTTGTTTTAAAAATAAACGTGGATTTGTGGTAGAATACATTTTATCTTTTTAATAAAAAACTATTGGACATGTGTGTGTGACCTTTGTCTCAAGGTCCTTATACAAACTAAGTAATTATGTTTACGTACATGTTTTCTTAGTCGCCTTCTAGAGTGTTATTGTGTGCATGTAGTGGGAGTGTCCGGCAACCGGGCTCTGCTTAGTTTTCCTGGTTCAAAACCTGAAAAACAACAACTAGTCCATCCCAAAGAGAGTACACCTAAACCAAACCTGAGCATCTTTTTTTTATATGGCCCAAGCGCAGCGAGGACTGTTTGATCTCCCACATCAGAGAAATCAAACAGCAACATCATAAAGTAGCACAGGAGAGCCAGTAGCTCTGAGCAAGATTAAGTGGTACACTTGCACCTCGAGAATTGAAGACACACCTTTGATAAGTAAAATTTTCCAACTTTGGACAGCCATCTTTGTTAAAACAGAAATGGTAAATGGCCTGTACTTGTATAGCGCTTTTTCAAGTCAGGAGATTTGACCAAAGCACTTTACACTACATTCAGTCATTCACGCACACACTCACACACTGATGGTGGCAAGCTACACTGTAGCCAAAGCTGCCCTGGGGCACACTGACAGAAGCAAGGCTGCCGTACACTGGCGCCACCGGGCCCTCTGACCCCCATCAGCAGACAATGCAGGTGAAGTGTCTTGCCCAAGGACACAACAACACTGAAACCCGGAGCCGGGGGTTGAACTGTCAACCCTTCGATTTCAGGGCAAACTCCTACACCCGACACCACTGTCGACCCTGTCGCCCCCAGAAAAGCAAACACTTTACAGAAGGAAAAGAGTACTGTTCAGCTCTAGAGCATCTACAACTGTATCCTGGAACTTATCTCACTGAGGTTGTACGACCAGTCTCATCATGATTTAAATAGCCAAACACAAAACCTATACCAAACAACAGACTGAAACGACCCAGGAGAACGACAGGTGGCTCACTGATTTTCTTCTGCCTGAATGTGCTCAGGATGATGGACCTCCAGGTGTTTGAAAACATCAGCAGTCCAACTACAGATGGCTCTAATGTGAGTTGACAGAAATGACAGACTCCTGGATGGGTGTTTACATGTTTTCAGAAAAACTGAGCAAATGTCTGGTTGCCTCCAATTTAGGCCCGGTACAATTACAAACTAAAAGTTGTTAATAGGGAGTAAGACGTGGTCTGTCATTAGCAGGAGCAGGTTAAATAAGGTATTGGGTTTTTCTGACATGTGGCAGAAATAAAATTTGTGCATAAAAATGTATATGATTTTCAGAAGCCTGACTCTTTTTTTATCAATCAAAAGTAATATTCAACATTTCTGAAACACTAAATTTTGGATTTTCATAATCGTCAAAATATTTAATGCCTTAACAAATACAGTTAAGGCATTAAATATTGTAATGCTCATGTTATGAATGACTTTTAACTTTTGGAAATGGGAATTAAAAATTTTTAACTTTTTTTTTTTACATTTTTTAGCTGTACTTATATTCATACAATAAAGCATGGTAGTGGCAGCATCATTTTGTGAGGTTATTTTTAGAACTGAAAATGATGGGGAAATTATTCATTTAGTTTTAATCAGTTTATGGGTTTATTAAAACATTTTTTGTGTAGTAGTAAATATACATCCAAATGAAGAAAAACAATCATGTAACGGTAGCAAATTTTAAATTTTTATTTAACACACAACCCTGCAATTAAATCATACTTAATTAAAAATATTTTAATTATAATTTTTGCTGCCAGACTCTCAATATGAAGGAAAGGGAAAACAAAGAGCTAGCTGGCAAGGTTTTAGATGGAGCTCACCAAAGGCTGTAATATTGATGCAGACAATCAGAGAAATCTCCCGTTTTCTCCTTCTTGTCCTCTCTTGTTTTTTCTGAGGCATCGCCAGCAGCCAGACTGTGATTCAAGATCTGTTGCTGTTGCCCACACAGTGGGCTCTTCTTTTATATGCAAATTAATTATTAAAAGAAACTCTTTATCACTTTAAGTAGTTTCCCCACAGATGGTAAAGGGAGAGGAGAAGCCAGACTACTGTGACTCTGAGCTGTAGTTGCTTCGGAAACAGAAAAATATCTCAGGTGGTTTTATTTTTGTTGAGTTTAGAAAATAATCTGTTCACTTCATCTTAATGTTAAAGGATTTTTTTTAATCTGTAAAAGGTGAGATTAAATGCACATAAAAATAAAACCTTATTGTGATTTATTATATAAATGGTAAAAACAAAAACTGCAGTATAACAGTAAGTAGTCAATTAATGTCCTTTATATCCAAAGTATTGTTTCAGCTCAAACAACTCATGACTTTTGGACGGACAGAAGATGCAGTGGAATGTATTAAAAGTTAATTAACTTCTTTTTCAGTTCTTAAACAAAGCTCATAGATATTAATCATGGACAGAGTATTAGTGCTGTTTATGTTGCCCGCGCAAATTCTCAATTATTCTGGTTTTGTAACCATAAAATCAGATGGGCCGCGCTTTGACCGTTTTTCTGAAAAGGTTGCTACTAAGGCTGGGTGATGAAACCATCCCTGAACAGAGGGGGAGGATTTTTTTTTTCTTTCGTCTTGAATTGTGAATCTATATTTTAAAGATATTTTATGCTGTCTGTAAACCATGCATCTATGTTTTATGTTCACTTCATGTTTTAGTGCACAATTAATAAATAGTTACAGTATAACGGATAATAGGACCTTGAAGTACATGAGTGCATGCTCTCCTTTTCCTCTGCTCCTGTAGTGCCAGTTCATTGCTCTGTCATGGGTGAATTAGTAGGTGTGCATCTGTGTGTGTTGTTGGTCTTATTTCAGTAGAAGTTGAATGAGTGTGCATCTTGCAAACCCTCTGTGATGACTCCACCGATTGGCCTAAAAACGTCAAAAGGGAGCAGCAATGATGCCGCAGGGAGGAGTTTGCTTATTCTCAACCTTATATTTCTGTGTTAGTCATAGGACTGTCCTGCCATGTGTGCAGCCTTGGCTGCCTTTTTAACTGCCATACAGTGACGTTTGTGGACAGGCCAGCTGAAAGCCTTGACTAGGCCTGGGAAAAGATAATCTTATGTTTTTATCCAGCCATGGTATTCTGTCATTAGTTTTTCAAATTTTGCATTTAAAGACGATTGACATCTGTCTCCTTTTTCCTTTGACCCCCTCCCTTACTTTCCTCCTCCCTCCTTTACCCTCTAATCTCCTCATACTTTTGTTATTTTAGTTTTCCTTCCGATAACATGTTCAAGACAATAAGGCTAACAGAAAAATGAATTACTGTACCAGAGTAAAAAAGTGATTTATGGTATTTTATTTCCTCATTTTAATAATGGAATTGTTCCAAATACATATTTCAGCATATTTTATTGGTCCAAATTTGTTATTTTGTACATGTTTACTTTTTTGTGTTACTCTTTTGCTTCCAATGCTTAGTACAGCATATAATTGTGTCATATATAATACACCCGAGCTTCTTATTGATTAAACAGCACAGCAATTGATATGTAAGCTAAACAATGTTTTCTTTACTCTACCGATAACCATGGTGATGGAGTTTGATTCATAATCTATTAATCTATCTATTATTTACCAGTAATTAATACAAGAAAAAGAAGCATTACAGAGTTTCCTAATGCTACTGCCACCTGTGGCCAAACCACAGAATTGCAGCTCTTCTGCCTGACCTCGTACCTCGTGCTCGTACTGAATAAGGTTTATGTTTTTTCCTTTTTCATCTTACATGGAGTTGGCATTGGTGTCTGAGTTGAGCTGGATTCCGGTCGCTTCTAAGTATCCACAGAATACATATTGAATAGAATGTTTTGATAGTTTGGTAGCTCGGGCCCGTTAAAAATTTCACACCAGCCGAACAGCGTGGGAACTTCTGACCCGAAGTAAAATCAGGAAGATAGGCTACAGGCTTATAGATGCATTGCCGCTGAACTACTGAGATGTCAGTCTGCTAATCAAGCAATGCTTTGGTAGTAAAGGATTAAATAAAAAGGCAATTCTAAAGATATTTTTCTGTAATAAATTGCATATTCATTAAGACAAGATATTTTTTTATCTTTAACACTACGGAAATTTTACAATTTTCCTATTTGTGAACACCATTCTAAGGACTTTTTAAAGTACTGGACACTTTTGGCTTTCCGTACTTTTAAGTTGGTCTAATTTGTTTGTGTCATGATACTCACTGTCTTCCTAGGAGCTAAAGTTGAGGTTTTACAGCATTCACTATGGATAATCTCCAGCTGCAGAGCCTGAGGCAACTTCAGACCAAAGCAAGTTACAAAAACCCATCCATTACGTTTACCAGCCTCCAGATATAAACCCACTGGACTTCATTTAATTGTAACGCTGCTAAGTTAACAAGTGTCATTGAGGTCCCTCTGTAGGTTACAGTGAGTGGCAGTGAATCAAAGGTAGGCCACACCTGCAGCTTAAAGCATGTTCTTCAGATGACTGAGAGTACTTGAGGAAGCACAGGAGGAAAGTTTGAATCAGCATATTTTCTCCTCCTTACCTGCAGCTTACAAACGTGAACTTTTCTGGAGCGGCTTAATTAAAAGTTCTTGACCAATAATGCAAGGATGCTCTTCAAAGACAACTAGGAGCTCCTGTTCTTATTGACTTGCAATGTCCTAGTTGTAGTTCAAACCTCCCTTCGATTAAAATTCTAGGTTGAGCCTAAATGAGCCTTATTGTTGCTGTAGGTGGTTCTGTTACCTTAGAAAATAACGGGGTGTACTAATTTACTTTACAGCTTATTGCTGGTTTGTACAGTACTACCTTTGATTAGCCCTATGGGTCCCTAGTCAGTGTTGGTTTGGAGGATTTATTGTCTCTTAGTTTCCACTTCAATAAATGGATGCAACCATCTGCTTCTACAGGGGAGCACAGTATGGCAGTTTGCTGCTTCTTATTTAGCAATAAATGAAGAAACTGAATCAGACTGCCTTGGATTATATTTAAAATCAGATTAAAATGTGTGTGACCACCTCTAATCTCTATATGATTGGATTGGATTGCTGTGAACTCTTTATTGTGCATTTCTTCGCAATTGGAAGTGACTTCATTTTTTTATATTTTGCAAAGTCCCTTGAGATGACTTTTATTGTGTATATATAAAGGTTATCTGATTTTAAACAATGCCAATCTATCCAGTTCTAATACTAAATGCCAATGAAAGGTAACAGAGCATCCACTTTGATTTTATGGCTGTAAAACCATTTTCTTTTTTCCTTTCAGTGATCTAAGTCCTAATTCGTCCTAGCAGTCCTCTTGTTCTCTACACTCTTCTTATTCCCCTACTGTCTCATTCCCCTTCACTCACGCCTCTCCTCTTCCAGCCTATTTCTCTTTATCATCCTCAGCGGCCCGTCTTTGCATGTTTAAAGCTGGGCTTACGTCTCCTGCAGCGCTAAAGTCCGAGGAGGAGGAGGAGGCGGCTTTAATGGAGAGGGGGGGGACCCTTAAAGACCTCAACAGAATCAGTGAAGGGAGCAGAAAATGTTCTGAATTCACCACCACAGGCAATGAGAGCAAGACGTCTTTTGATGCCTTAACAGTTGATGAGGGAGGAGGATGTAAATGAAGAAAGATGAAAACACTCCTCTGTCCTGCCTTTAGTAGTCAGCATTAGTTTTCTGCCTGAGGTGGTTTAGAGAGGAGAGGATGGCAGTAGGTAGAGTTTGTTAGATCAGCTATTTTTGGAAATGTTTTTTCCCTTTGTCTGGTTTTAGCATTAGAGGCAAAGAGATGTTTTTGTATTCTTTATCTGCAGCAATAGAGTTAGTCTTCAGGCTGAGTTTATAAGACATTCGATTGCTAAACCACTGAATATCCTATATCATGTTCCTTCCATTATAAACCACAGAGCAAAGTATCCTTTACCTGGCTTAAGAGGTGGTGTAATAAGCTAAGAAATTACTGTAAAACATTAGCATGTTTTTGGGGGACATTCATTAGAAATTTGAATGCTTGTCTTATTTGGTTTGTGCTTTTAAGTTTCACCCAAACCAAAATGCGTCGTTCAGAGCTGTTTGGTCATAATCGGTCTGGAGGAATCTGTAAAGAGAGCAGAGCAAAGGCTTAAAGGCTTATTGGAAAAGCCCCAGAGTTGTATAATGCTATAAAACTTGTTTTACCATTTTATAGTATCAGTCTGAGGGACCAATTTCTATTTTTTCATCAAAAAAAGTGATGCAATGAGTTTTAAGGCACAAACACCAACAGCAGCAGCAGACATTGCTGCACATTTTACACTACAGAAAGAGGAGGTTTACAATCTATAAAGATTTAAAAAGCAACTATAAAAAAGAATGAAACATTGTGAATGCAGAGAATGCATTGCAGCATTTCTCAATATATATATATTTTTAAGGTAAGCTGAATAAACTGCAGTAAGTAAAATATCAAAAAATGTTGTATCCAGATAAACAAACCTGACAGGTCTATGGCTTAACAGCTACTAACTCAGCCTAGTTCATCTCAGATTTGCATTTTAAATTTCTTTTAAATATCTAATAAAAATGTGGCACATTCTAGAAAATAGGATGAAATGCTTTTCTTTTTTTCATGGCTTTCTATTCCACACTATTCTGACCTTACAACTCTCATAGCATTTCTAAAAGCGTCACTTCAGAGGTTGAGAAGAGAAGCTTAAGCAAGACGAGGCGAAAATCTCCTGGGAAGCTGCGATGCAGAGAAATGGAGCAAACAGACGGTAAAACATAAATAAGTAGGAGATACAGACAAGGGCATGGTTGCATCAGAAGTACTAAGTTAAATCTGTTAACTGTCAACAGAAAAGCTGTAGGACATTCTGCGTTGAAGAAGCTGATGGGAGTGGATCAGTGTGGGTCATGTTGACAGATTGAGGATGGCAGTAATGATGGTTTCGCTTTCATTTCTTGTGGCTCACCTGCTTTTATGACGGATTTTGTGGGCAGTAGGCCGTTGAAAGCATTAGCAGAGCTTTTCACTTTGTTGGTTTGAAGTCTCCTAAGTGTCCTGAACATGAAAGTGTTGTGCATGCAAATGGAGAAATTAAAATGAACCTTTCCTTGCTTTGTTCTTTCTGGCTCTCCCTGAAGTCTTTAGTTATTCCTCCATATCCTTTATTCATATGCCTGTTGGTGCAGAGCCACATACTGAGCTTTGTAAAGTTCAAGACATAAAGGAGCTTTCTTAGCACAATAACTGACCTTGTGGGCTGCCTCCATCAGAATCGGTAAGGTTTCATATGTTTTTTTTATTTTTAGTCTAGGCTTTTTTTTTTTTTTTTACTAAGATTTTACTTTTTAAAGATGAACAATCGCTACCTATTCTAAATTTGACCTATTCTGCTCTTATTCTGAACTCTGACCTTCTCATCATGTTTTCCCTCCTCAGAATCTTAAAAATGACCTTTTGTTAATTTGTAAATAATGCTCCTTTAGTTCAGCGAAGCTCAAACAGTCCCACAACACAATTTAAACCAGGTTGAGATCTGGGTCATTGAAATACCCTGATTCATTTTTACTTTCACATCAGTTATCTTTAACTGCTACAAATATCTTTTAAATATATTTGAATTAATCTATCAGCTGATGAGACTGAATGACTAATATAATTTTCCTTTGTATAGATTTTAGACCAAAAAATAAAATCCTTATTTCAAAATACAATTTGTATACATCTGTTCTGTCTCCAGTATTACACATTCCCCCCCCAAAAAAAAACAAAAAACAAAACCGGCTTCTAAGCATTCAGTGGCCTGAATGAATGTCCAATCCTGGGAAAATTAAATGTTTTCCATTTAAGGAGAGTCTTTATGTCCGTATAATGATGAATAGTCTTAAAACCTTCCCAGATTGACAGTAACACACCCCTATATGCAGCAAATCGACAATAAAACAATTCGGATGAAGATCAGTTCATTAAGTACATTTGATCAGCAGCCCTTTGCTATAATATTGCTACATTTGATATTTTTAATTTTTTCTTACAGCTGTGTATTTTTCTGTGCTGTTGGTGGCGAGGCTATTGGAGAACAGCATCTGTGTCACATTTATGAATAATTACACATTAGAAAAAAAAAAAAAACTACTCCTGTTAGGATTTCTGTTCCAAGTGATATTCTTCCTCTTAGATTAATGAACTAAGTATAACTGACTAAATTGTTAAACTCGCCAGATGCTCTGTGATGAAGTTTGTAGAGAAACTCTTGGGGATTTCCTGTGTTGTTCGCTTTGAGGATCTTTTACCATCTGGTTTCTCTTTCCTGCTCTAAAACAATTTAAGAAGTCAGAAATCTATTGCTTGGGTGAAACAGGCAGCATTGCAGAATAAAGGTCCAGCTATGCTCCTGGTCTTTTTCAGGGGTCAACAGCAGGCTAATAAAGGCTGTCTGTTCTCTGTGTAATTTTTAGGACTTGAGATTCACTCCGTGTGAGAGAAAATCCTCCTTTATTCCTAATTAACTGAGTGCTCTCACAGCTTCCCTTTTCTATCCCCACCATGCCCTTTTCCATGCCTATCTTAATGTTCTGTCTCTTTTTATTTTAATTTCATTTTCTTGTCTTCTTGTGTCTTCCAACAGAAAGCTGAAGCGACCGCTCCTTCCACCTCGCCGTCCTCCCAGGCTGACAAGACCAGATCAGAGGTGTGGGTTTCTTCTATATTTTTTGCTGTGCTAGTGCAGAATATTTCTTTAAGTTCTTCTTTGTTGGTGTCTTTGCAAAGTTAGACATAGAAGGGATTCAGAGTTCACACGTATCCTTAGTCCAACTTTCTGAATCTTCATCCAAATAGGCAGCTTTTCCTCACAATGTGGAGGAAGGGAAAAAAAACCTGTAGGATTATCTGATTCTTCAGAAATATGTATTTCAGGGTGCAAACTTAAGGATTCTGCAAGAACTAGCTTAAATTAAGTCAAAATGAAGGCTTAAGCTACCCTAGCAAAACCAATGTAATTTCATCTTCCTGCTAGAGATGTACAGACCTTATATTAATATTCGTATCGGTTCTGATATTGAAGGAAATTATGCTTTCAATTTGTTAGGAAATGTATCTAGTCAGTTCCAAAATAAATATAATTTAGGTTGAAATCTCTTGAACAGCAGGGAAGTTTTCCTTTTTATGGTCATCTGTTTTTTATTTAATTAATACGGTCATTTTGATCCCTTACTTTGTTTACAGGATGGAATTTAAACTGATGGAATTTTCTGACATGGTAATCTCAATATTCATGTGTAAATTCATACATATAATACAGTTATTATTATAATATGAAAGCAAACAGAACTTTGGTATAAGAAAAGCATTACTGTATATAGGTAGTAGTAGTATAGGATCTACAGATAACCAAATTTAAGTATTAGAATTGGATCAGAAGTGAAAACATGTGGATTGTTGTATCCCTACTTATTGCTTTTTAAAGTTATTTTATAATTTGCTCGGTTACTGAACAAAAAAACGGGTTGGCTTTCGCAACAACTTGACAGGTTTGAGTGGTGCCTCCTTTGTTTCTGCCCTGTTGCAGATCCATTAAAAAATGTTATTCAAATAAGTGCAAAAGCTTTTGAATTACACCATTTGACACATTGCTGCTGTTGGCCTCATCCCTATCTTATTTTTTATCCTAACTGTAGGATGGTTCTTTTGATTTCTTGAGTATTTTTCTCCTCTCACGTATGCACATTCCTTTTAATTGTTTGTATGCTCCAAAACAATTTATCACTTTATATATTTAAAGTAGCCATAAGCACATTTTCACCACTTACTGTCTATAGACCAAAACAACACCACATCTTAATATATCGTTCTATGTTGTTTCTTAGATGCTCACTAACACATATTGTAGTCCTTTGCCATCAGCAGATGTTGAGAGGTAGTATAGGCTTTCGGTATCAGTTTCCTTTAGTTCAAGCATATTGAGGTCAACAGAATCTTTTATAACATAACACCAAGTAGGATTGTCCTTTAAAGCAGGAGAAACGGAAAGATGTTTAGCCAGGTCTTTGGTTGCCTATTGGCAAAGACAATGAATTTTTATAAGATAGATGATTTTTTTTAACATGTACTGTACATGTACATTTTTTGGGTTTTATCATGGAGAGCTTCATCCTTTCATATTTTTCTAACTTTTGGTTTTGTAATTCTTTTCTGGAAAGCTCTAATCCCAATTTTGCCAGCTTGTGTCTGCCCAGTAAGGACGTGCTTTAGCTTTCCTACCCTAGATGGTGTTCTTACTGTTGGTTCCACAAAAGGTGAAGGGGTAGGAGCTATAATTTGAGGTATTTGGATTGAGCCATCTGCTGGCTAAATAGACAGGAACTGATTAAAAACTTTGGCATTGAGGTGTTAGTCAACATTGCAACGGTGCTGACATTGCTGCAGTTTTGTTTTATTAGTAATGATCAGATGTAGGAGTGTAATGGGCTTCAGATGCTGCACAAGCAAATTGGGTAATCCTAGCTTCATTAGATCCTAGTTAATGAAGTCTGAGACCTGGAGCAGTGAAAAGAGCTTTGAAGTTGATAAGCCCAAACTCTCTATTAGATGTGCTAGAAAAGTGCTGGCAAACTGTGAGGATTTCCGTTTCTTTTGTCACATGCAGTTGTTTTCAGTCATTAAAAAAAGTCCAAATCTATGTATATTTTTAGTTTTGATAATAATTACTTTGTGATAATTTGCATCATTGAGGAGTCTGTGTGAAGAAGTAACACCCTGCTGCTTAATAAAATGTGTTGTTTGATCCACTCTATAAAGCTTGGATCTCAATGCTAATTCTGATATTTTGAATGAAAAAGCCATCTTTAAACTTGGAAACAAAGTCCAGTGGATTGTTTTTTAAGCTTTTTTGGAATGACTATGACCTGGATGACAGAGAATCTTCACCAGCTTAATAAAATGTATGTATTCAGTAATTAACCACTTTTTTTAGTGAAACTGGAAGGAAATCTGATTACTGCCAGAATTCTAAAACTAATTTATAGGACCTAACTGAAAACATGAAGAGTACTATGTTCTAATCTGATAAAACTGCAGGAAAAAAATGTAATGTAATCAAGATCAACTACTACTTTATCTCATCCAGTAGCGAAAGGCCTTAGTTAATGTGGTCATTATTAGACAAAAAGAAGAAACGGGGTTAGAATAGCTTTCCTGTAAGCGTCCCAAAGCCACAACACACAAATGGGACTCCACTTAATGATTATCTCCAACATATTTTGTACTATGGTCTGTAAGCTAGACTAGACCTTTTGGAAAGTGTAATAACCATTGCAAAAAGAACATCATCCTGGCAGCTGAATGTGATAGTGGAATAATCTGGGCAACTTTGTTTGTTAAGGTCTTGGACAAGTTGCAATGATTGATAGAACGTATTTGCTGCTTATATAAAAAAAATGCTCAAGAAGAATGCAATCAGTTACTAGGCTTTAGCTCAGATGCACTTGGGTTATGAAAAAGGACAGTGTTATAAGCCACACCAGGAAGCTCAACTCTGAATGTAATAACAAAAACTAAGAAGGTTTAGAAATGTGGCCTAGGCAACGTCAGGACATAAATCCTATTGAGAAACCATGGCATGAGGCTTTCTGCTACCAAGGGTGGTACAACCAGTTGTAGTGCTCATAGTTTGTTTCCCTTTGTGAATGAAAACATAATTTGAGAACTAAACTATGTATTAATTCCGGTTGTATTTATCCAATTTAATAATGTGTTTTGTTAAGGGGAGGAATTCTCTCTGGGGACAAATTCAGCTGCCTGTCTCTTTTTTCCATTTATTTCCCGTGAGAAATACCTGAATATTAAAAGAAAAAAACAACAAGTGGTGGCACCACTAGATACTTCCCCCATATGATTGTTTTCATAAGTTCTTGTTAACTTTTTATTGTTTCATCCTTTATTTTCCATGGTTGAAAAATAAAAGCCTGTGATGCAGTCAAAGGAGATTCCCTCGCTGTCTGACGTGATCTCCATCCTCTTAAATATTGATCACTACATACCTCTGTTTGACGAGATCCCTAAAGAAATGTCTGTCTACGCACAAATAAATACCAGCAACTAGGCAGCAAATAGAGAGGAGGGGAATTGGAGAGTTATTGTCGCCATAATGGCAAGATTATAGGCTACGCTCACTAAACTGCAGCCTTTCACTTTGGCTTGCTGACAATCATTAGCTAAAGCCTGTTGGCAATCAGCACAGCTTCATTTGCACATAACATAGCATACAGAGGCATTAACCTGGAAACACTACATCAGCTTTCTCCCCCCGGATGATGTCTGCACATTAAATCTGCACAGTGAGTGCACTAAAATCACATTAAGGAAAAGCATCTAGTTCTAGCTATGATATACAGCAAACCTTTGTGATGGAGACCGCAGCGTCCTCCTACACACTGTTATAATGGACATCGAATGGGTTGGTGATGAAGAAAAGTGCCTTCATTCTGCCTTCCTATAAAGCAGTGCACATTAATTATGATCCAAGTGGTGAGGATGGTGTCATTTTTGCCACAAGTCTGATAATGGATTATGGATTTGTAGAAGAATTTTCTAAAAAGTATAATTAGAATATATTAAATAAGCAATAATCTTAATACTTCAAATCAATAATAATAATAATAAAAAAGAAATTTTATTGATCTCACATTGGAGAAATTTACCTCTGCATTTAACCCATCCCCTTGTGGAGCAGTGGGCTGCCATTGTGTGGCGCCCAGGGAGCAGCGGGGATTAAGGGTCTTGCTCAGGGACCCAGAGTGGCAGTCTTTGGAGTGGGGCTCAAACTCAAAACCTCAGGATTTCAAGCTCTATGCCCTAACCACTAGGCTGCCACTCCCCCTTTTCGAATATCAATTTTTTTTAATTACCTTTCTGCATGTAACTTAGTCTGTCTTACAAGGAAATTAATTGGCCCTTGTTCCATGAACCTTTTACCTTTTGACATGTCACATTTCATTGACTTTGTAGAGTCTTCTTTTAGCCGGATTTGAAGCTGCAAATCCTGTTCAAAATATTTATAGACAGAATTTCTAGGCAAAGCCGAGGGGCGGAAGGGGTCTGGTTTGGAGACCGGTCGATTTCATTCCTGCTTTTTGTGGATTATGTGGTTTCTGCTGGCTCCCTCCTGCCAAGACCTACAGCATGCACTCGTGCGGTTCGCATCCAAGTGTGAAGCAGACAGGGTGAAGGTCAGCTGTCCAAGAAAAAAAGGTGGCATGCCCCATTCAGGTTGGAGGGGAGTCCCTGCTTCAAGTGTGGGAGTTCAAGAATCTTGTGATCCTGTTCACGGGTGAGGAGAGAACGGAGCGGGAGGTCCATTGATGGATTGATGGCTGCTGCTATAATGCAATAGCTTCATTGGTTAGTTGTGATGAAGAGAGACCTGAGCAAAAAGGCAAAGTAATTGATTTAATGGGTAGTCTATGTTTCTACCCTCACCTATGGTCATAAACTCTCCACATGTGAAGAGTCAGCAGAGGAGGCTCTGACGTCTTTTCCAAATGCCCCCTGCTCGTCTCGTCCGGCTGTTGTTCTTCCCACTGAAAGGAGGCCCAGTGGACAATCAGGACACGCTGGAGGGACTACATGTCCCATAGAGGGGTGTCTGGGGAGAGGGAAGTCTGAGAGTCGCTGCTGAGACTGCCGCCCCTGTGACCAGGTCCCAGATAAGTGAGAGACGACAATTAAAAAAGCTGAAAGTCTTTTAGCTGTCTACTAGTTAATGCAAGTTTTTTATTAATAGTTCAAGCTCAGCCAAACTAGATGTAGTGTATTCAGACATCTATTTCATAGCCTTCCCCCAAAATTATCCTTTGAACTCAGGTCTGAACTTTGACCTGGCCTTTCACTCATAAAATGCTTTGGTTAAAACCCTTCCATTGTAGCCCTGGCTGTAGGTTTTTTTCTTGTATCCTGACAGATGAACGTTCATCTTTGGCTTCTTATGTCAGGGTTTCTTTGAGGAACTTTCTGCTTGTAGCTTAATATGTCTTACCATGAAATAGACCCGTCTCTGCTGTAGAAAAGCTTCTCCACACCATTGTACTCCCACTAGTATATTTCACACTAGGGAGGTTGTCTTCTGGGTTGTGTGAATTATAGGTTTTTCAATTAGTAGTTTAGCCAATTTGTTCTCGTCTGATTAAACCATCTCTACACGTTTACTGCATCACAACATGATTTGTAGTAAACTGCTAATGAGATTTTTTTTTTCTAAAAAATTGCTTTTTTCTTCATGTCTAATAGTTGTCCTGGATTGTTCTATGTCAACTGTTGATCTCTTAAGCTCCTCTAGAATTACAATAAGCCTCTTAGTTGCTTCTCTGACTAATGTTCTCTTTGCCCAGCCTGTCAGTCTAGGTGGCAGAAATGTCATAATGGCTTTAATACTTTTTTAGTGCATGTAGTTCCACCTCTGTGTCATCCAGGGCTCCTTCTTTTCCGTCCTCAATCTTCCACAAGTTAAAGGTATAGTGGAGGATGTTGTTTTTTTGGGTGGGTCATCAAAATAAATGGTCCTCCTAATTGTCATCAGTCTATCAGTCTGGTGATATGTTTATGTAAGGCTGTCCTATGTGCTCGTCTCCTTTTTCACTTACCAGTGGTGAGTCTGACATGGTGGAAAAATTGCAAATCTTCTTTTGGAAAGTAAGCTTGTATGAATGATGCAAACACGAACTTTTAAACGGAGCGTGCAAAAGGAGAAATGGACTCATGCTTGCTCTCGCATGCGTGTAATAGGCGTTCCCTCTCAGGTTTTGCATGCAAATTTTTTTTAAAGTGGAGAAGGTCTTTTCAAAAATTCGTAAAAATCCTCCTCTATACCTTTGAGTAATTTTCTGTTTTATCCGTGATTTTTTTTTTTTTATCAGAGTAAAATGTCTGAATATCCTCTGAAAGTACTGCTTGGTATTTTGCTAGAAGTTTCACCTTTTCAAATAAAACAATAATATAAGGTTGCAAGCATACAATTTTAAGTTTACAAACTCGTTTTGGTCTGAAATCTGATTTACCTTTTTTACGGAGCTGTCCTAAGTATTGATGGAATTTCTTATTTTTGTTGGTATTGTTTTCTCTCTCTTCTGCAGAAAGAGCGTGACAGGAAAAAAGAGGAAAAGAAGAAAGAAAAAGATGCTGACAAAGTGGAAAGGCACAACAACTCTAAGGTACAAACAACAGAAAGTCTTACAAAGCTTAACAATTAGGATCAAAGGTGAAGAGTCTATTTCAGTGGTATTATATGGTATTATTACTAAATAATGCAAAGCCTTCATTATTATAGCAAAGAACAGCAACCAGCGATATAATACATACAGAAAGTTGTAAGACTGAATACTGTTTTAAATGTTTTTCTGTTTTCGCTCTCATAATGGGCTTTTTTCAGTTTGTGCTTATTGTACCTTATGGCTTCTGACACATTTTCAGAATCATATTCTATTAGATCAACAAACTGAAAAAAAACCCTGGATATTATACCTTCTTAAAGCTGAAAGAAAAACATAACAAAGACTGCGATTTTGCTCCCACTGTCAACATCACTGAAAAAAAGGCTTTTTTTGTTTCCTGTGACAGCACTGACTCACAAGCACTATGGCTATTATGTTCACAGAGGCAAATATAAACATTGCTATTTCGCAAATTCCCCAATCTCAACAACCAGTGTACTTAAAATAAACAACACTTACTGAAACAAAAGCAATGACACCAATGATCCTGCATGTGGATACCTTCCAGTGACTGTATGATAAAACATATTTCCAATTGGGATTCTACTGTAGCATTTTTAGTCATTTGAAAAAATGGATAAATTGCTTTGTTAATACACAATATTAGGGAGGTCCATTTAGTGTAATTCAGGGGGAAATAAGAGGAAAACTAGCCAGCAGGTCAATCAGATTTACATGACTGGAAAATAATTTTCCCCACTGTGCAGCAGTTAATATGTTTTATTTTAAAGAAAGTTATTTTAATTTTGATTTAAGATTTTTTAGTATATGAAATCCAAGATACATACACATAACAGTCATTGGGAACATGTAACCAATCACAAGACAAGATCCTGAACCGCAGGTTTTATGGTCTTGGTCCATTTAGTCCAAATTTTGGTAAACGTGTCCTTTTGCATCCTGAGGGAAAAAGACACCTTTTCCATCACATATGTTATGTTTATCCATCCTTGATGGATGGGGACTTCACCCTCCACCATTTTCTTTTATCTCCATTATTTTTGACAAAGCTACATCTTTCATGTATATAGTTTTGAATCTAAAGGGACTTTTTGCTCCACGTAAATTATTGATGTGTTCACATATCTCTATATCATACTTAGTTATAAACAGAGAGCCACAGAAAATATGCATGTGGTTGTCCTACACTGTCTCCAGCATGAACCCCAATAAATGGACCATCAGACTTATGTTTCAAAAAATTCCAAAACCTTCAAATTTCCTTGCCATCATTCTTTATGCTAGTTAATGTTAATGTTTAAAAGCACCAAATAATCCTTGAATCACTTAAGAAAAAATGGAAGCTTACTAATATTAGAGCAGCATGTTTAACGTTGCAAAGTGGGAGAAAAAAGCAGCCAGTAAAATCGTGGGACTAGGTCCTTTGGACATTTGACACAAATAAGCCTTAAAGGTCCCATATTATGCAAAGTTCACTTTATACCTTTAGTAACAGTCATGTGTCTTGAAGCCTGTGTTTGAGGTTCAACAATTTTCTTTCCCCTCTAACACTGCCTTTCTCCACCTTTTTAGCTTAAAATGCTCTGGTGGAGAGTCATGCCCTTTATGATGTCATAAGGGGAAATATATGTCTGTAGCAGCCCATCGGCCAAGCTATGGCCTTCATATTGTTTATTATTCTGTGCTCCTAGACTTTCTTTACAAACTCTGACTGGTTGTCATGGTTATTGGTTGTTGGGGCGCGGCCTTCGGGAGGACAGGTAGCCCTCCCGCCCCACCCCAATGTGTGTTAAGTATTGTGATGAACGGTTTGTACTGAAACTGAAATCTCAATGGCAATGTAAATTGTAGTTGACAATAAAGTTGATTGATAGATTGGATAAATTCTCATCCAGAGGAGGGCTGAATAAGGACATTTTTGGTACATGGTCTCTGCCTAATCTAAAAAGAATTTTCCTGCACAAACATTCTTAGGGGGTTATTGTCATCCTTAATAAGTTTTATTTTCAAATGCAAATTAATATGGGACCTTTAAAACAAAGAACATTATGCAAACTGTTAATCCCATCAGTGGTGACCTTATCATTTGTATTAAGAAGCCATAGGAACCAGGGATCTGTAGTCAACAAGTCAGTCATGGACTCATCTTTAAATCACAAGTATTTAAGAATGAAATGTGTTCCAGTTTTCCATAACTCTTCCAATGGCTGGGTATTTTATCATTTTTAGTAGACCTACTAAACATAGATTTTATGCTATATGAAGGCCAGGATGTACACTGATGAGTTTTTTCTTGTCAGTGTTACTAATTTTATGAGAAATTTAATCAAGAATACCAGGAATATTACTGTAGCAACTATAAACCAGCACTCATAAGGCAATCTGGCCTGTAAGCAACAAACAGTAGAGTATGCTATCTGTCGGCATTAATTTACCTTCATAAATATTGCAACACTAAGCTAGAATGAGGCAAAAGGAATCACAGCTTGTGTTGCATTATGAATGAATAATGTGTGAGTAGAGGAAGGCCTAGCTCCTTTACCTGCTTCTCCACCTGAACCCTCATGGGAAAGTCCTCATAAACATTCATGCTGCTCACAGATGCTTTATGTTTTATGCCACTGTGCACGACTGAAACACAGTGGCATAAAAATTCCATAGTATTAGCCTCAGTTTGCTTTCAACAGGCTTCTGACATGTTAAATATTTTTCGGTCTGTTAGCTGCACTATTACTGACAATGCTGCTGGTATATTTAGCTATATTTAGCTTTTTTCTAAAGAAGGATGCACTTTAAATGCATCAGACTACCACTGGTAAAAGATGCTTTCATAATTTGTGACGAAAAATGGGAGGAAGGGTAAGTGAAAGTCAACGGCTGTCAGCCATCAAAGTCTTTGACAGGATATGAGTAACGTGTGTTTGAAGAGAGAGTTAAGTGACAGGATGAGGTAGAGTTTCTGATGTGAGGAAGATGGTGACAAAAAAAAATGGGATGGATTTTTAATTGACTGCTGATTTATTACCCATTAAAGCTATGGTATATAAATGTGCGATAGTAATATATTATTAGAGCTAGAGGAGGGTAGGTGTATGTGTTTTTTGGGTCATGGATGCTAAATTAAACGTATTTCATGACCTGTGAAGGGAAGAGGGATTAGTTCTGCTTTCAGGAATGTGGTTTTCTCTGTGTGTGTGTTTCTCATTTCAGCATCTTCTGCAGGGAGTAAAAATATGGGTTATGTGCAAGCATGCCACCGTACCTAAACCTAATTTCATTGTTTGTTTGTTATATTGATTATATTCACTCTACATGAACCTATTTATAAATGTTTTGCATTTGTCTTCAGTCTGTCTGATTTTGTCTTAATCTGAAACTACCTGGATTTTCCCCCCCTGTTTGGTTAACTTTAATTATTTAGACATTATTATTTGAGGCTTAATGGGACCATAATTTAGATCATGGGAAGATCAGAGTGACAGTTTGAGAGGCTGGAAAGGGCTTAAGCCAGTTAGGAAGCTGGTCTTTAGCAAATGATTGATGCTGCCGCCTAGGCACCAATACCCTCCTATCTACTGGATAATAAGGAGTGGCTTAAAAAATAAAAGCTTTTTTTTAATATACCAAATCCAAGTTTTTTATAAATTTTTTTCCTTAGTAATTTGACAACATATTACTTTAAAAAATATTGTTTTATACCAAACATCCCTTTTGGGAGTTGTACATGGGTTTTAAATTGCAACTAAATCGATACTGTTGAATAAGATGGTCAGCTTTGGCTTAGTAAATAATGATAATATAGTATAATATGCGGTGAGCTCTATCAGTCATGAGCATATATCTAAGAAGGAATATGGAAAAACTGATGTCACTCAGAATTATGGGAACCCAAGAAGTGAATTGGTGAAAAATAATCTACATTTACCAAAAATTAAATATTCATAATCAGACAATTCCATTAATAAATAGAATCAATTTATCCCCCAGCCCCAGAACACAACAGTAGTGTCGGGTGTAAGACGATGGACCTTGCTGTAATTAGGGAAATACATCTCGGTGGATTTACATGTTTCCTGATGCATAACCAAGTGCATCTGGGCTTAAAGTCACAATATGATGAAATGATGTTCTCCAACATTTTTTGGTCTGGACATCATGGTTTTATCAATAACAGTAAGTCAGAGCAGTTTAGTGATACTGTGTTTTACTACATGACCCATCAGCCTATTCTAGGTTTGTTTGGTGGGTTGTTTAGTTATTTTGAAGGTCTTTGACCTTGTCTGTCGTTTACCGCAGTCCCAAAACCTTACAAATGGCATTCCACACAGGTTGATGCCAATGACTTGTCACCAGTTCTTGAATTTTTTTTAGATTGAGTCACTTAAAGCGTGTTGCTGTAAGAGAGGTTTTGGTCTGCTTCATGCTGATGGAGAGGTTCTTCTTAAATAATTTCCTGATTCTGAAAAGCAATTTCCAGGCCCTGGTAGTTTGGTTTTTAAAATGTGACAAAAATTGTTAGCTGCTGTTAATTCATGATTTTCTTTCATGTAAGGCCAGGTAAGTATAGCAAAAACTTGCTTCTTGTTTTTACTCTGGTATCTTTTTCCGATAATATAATTAGTTTTATGGTCTTAAACAGCCATGTTTGACAAAAGCACCAACAAAAGAAGGTTAATCAGTGTTTTTGATGGGCTGATTATTTTTACAGCACTGTATGTGTGCAGGCAGAGATATGCGTTGTTGTTTGTCTCTCCTTCTTATCAGCTGTTCTCCCTCCGCTGAAGAGCCCCAATGTCAAGGAGATATTTGAGGACATTCCTTGTGCATGTGATTGTGTGTGTCACTGTTAAGGAGACACCTAGAAGGAGAGACTTGTTAGTCCAAGCGCATGCTGACGTGCTGAAAGCCGTTTAATCTTTGGCACAGCTAGAAACATGCTGACAGTCTTGCTTTTTTCTTTCCATTTTTTTTCTTCAAGT